GAAGAGGTATTGCTTTAGTTTGACCCAGCTTGCCCAACATCTCTACAGATCAGGTGCTTCAGCGGGGCTTTTGGCACTTTTATCTAATAGCTGATTGAATCAGCTATTAGGTCATGCATAGATGAAATTAGAAGTGTGTGTGCAAGACACTTTAAAGCAGACTAAATGCTTTTGTACCACTTTAATGGTGTTGGTGTTTGGACGCCTCGGCAGCATATTACACATTAATTCCAGCTGCTGTAGGAAATCTGGCAGTGTAATATGCCTTAAATGACTTGGGGTGCAGCAAACTAAAATTCCTCTGAGGAGTTTTAGTTTGCTGCCCTACAGCTGCGGAGCGAAGCACCGGGCTCCGTGCAGCTCTATGGCTCTGCAGGACGCCCTGCAGGCAGCATGGCAGCAGCCGGGAAAACAGGCTCTGCTCAAGAAAAGTGGCAAGCCTGATCTTTTTTTCCACCCCCTGCTGGAGCCTGCCTGCCTACCTGAGCTGCGCAGGGGCCCGGTGCTTCCCTCTGTGGCTGCAGTGACCCCCAGGACCGCCTGAGCTGAGCTGGGTACCTGCGGGCGGGTGCCACCTGGGGGTGACACCGCTGCCGAAGAGGAAATCATCAGCCCCCACCACAACTCGGGGACCACTCCGCCTGCCAGCAGCTCACCCTCCCTTCCCCACCAGAGAGGCAGGTAAGTCAGCAGGGTTTAATCAGCCCTTAACTGAAGCAGCGTTTTTTAAAACCCACTGCTTATTTAGGGCTCCTGTTTTGTCTACACACGCCCTTAGATAAAAGTGCCAAACACCCCGCTGAAGCACCCAATCTATACAGACCCTGTGGAGCTGGGTTGGACTAATGTGCTTTCCTCTTCTGATAAAGAGATGTTTTTTGTTTTTGTTTTTTTTCCATGTTTGCAAGCATTTTTAACCCCCCAAATGGAGACCACAGGAATCACACAGACAATTTTCCAATGTTAAAGGTCCAGTCATAACATCCACCCAAGTTCCATTTGGTAGAAAAGTAAAAAGGAGAGAAAGAAAAGAGGTATGGTAGCTAAGATGTCATTGCACCTCAGATTGTCCTGGGGATTGATGGGCGCTGGTTTGCTTCCAGACAAACTAGAACAGCCTCAGAGCTAGTTTAACATCTGACCAACTGCAATAGACACTAACAGGCTATTTCAGTAGCTGGGGATTTTGAAAGCACATTAGTTCTTCAGCAACATCCCTTGACCCTGCCACAACCTGACATTCCTTCCATACCAGAGGAGCTGGAGACAGATAGGATGGAACCAGTTACACCAAACAATATACTATTAAGACTCTTTTATGTTTAGCATATTCTTACAGAGTCAGCTAAGCCAGTTTTGCACATGCTCAGCCCATACAAACTAGCAAAGAGCAGATACACTAGAGACCAGGATATGGACCTGAATATTTACCATTTAAAAATCCTCTTGCAGGGACTCACTCCTAGATGCCGTGATTGATTTGGTGTTCTCAGAAAATAAATCCAAACTCCCATTACTGCTGCAATGGGAAATCACAAAGTGGCAATAGGAATTGGGTTCAACAGCAGCTATTTGGCTCTGATCAAGCAGGCCTGGCTGGGGCAAGCACATGAGTTACCACACCTACCTTCAATCCCTGACTAATGTGACTGACACAGTTCTCCGCAACCAGATTGGCTGCTCACCCCTTTTAAAGACACCTGCAGACTCAGGATGCAGGCACACCGTGACACAACCTCAATCTGTCTGGCAAGCCTTGTGGTTACAGTTCTTCCTGGTTCTCCTTTGGCTTTGGCTTTTTCTGACCCCAATCTTGGTTCTTCCCCAAAACTTGGTGCTGGCTCTGTTCTCTCTGGTTTATCTGGTATCCTGACTTGGCTTGGCTTCCTTGACCCCGATCTCGGATTCTCCCCGGAACTTGGCACCGGTTCTGAGACCCCTGGCTCCTGACCTCAGCTTGTGTTACAGACTACACCTCTTGGATCACTCCTGTCAGATCCCCTGGAACTGGGTCCCGTGCTCTCTGCTCCACCAACTCGGACCCTGACCTGACACTGGTAACCTGTACCCCTACCCTGCCGAGCGCCTAGTTACCTCCCAGGGACTATCCACAGGCCCAGCCACTTATATCGCTAAACCCATGCAAGCTGTAAGTTGGTTCCCTATCATATTCATTGATACAATTAGAAGTTCCCACAATGAATCGATGCCAGCAGTTAATTTAGTTGATGTATGCATACAGACAGTCCCACAGCAGATACAGGAACACCAGATTCTCAGGATAGGGGTTCAAAATTCAGAACCCCTTCTTGAACGAGGACTTCTCAAAGGCATGCAGGCCAACACATGATAAAAAAATAAGGCTGACATGAATGAAAGACCAGAGACCTAAGAAAGATGCTATAATTGACACAGACAGGATGCTGGTTATAAAAGAAACTCAGGCGGTATACCATGCCAAACACTCATATAACCAGAAATTTTGTAAGTGAGAAGAGCTAACATAGGCAGCATCAAATTAGATGGCAGAACTTATAATATGCAGTATTTAAAGCCTGCTTATTTTTATATTTATTCAGAGTTTTTTTTAATTTCTTGCGACTAGTTAACTGATTTATTTGCAGTACTTGAAAGTGGCAATTTACATTAGTGGGAATAAGAGCCTGTGAAAGTTCCCAAGAGAAGTAAACCAACTTCTGATCTTAGGACAGTTGGGCTCTGAATAGAGGCAACACTGTGGGTCACAAGTGAGGGAACAGCTGGGTCTACCTCAAAAAGCACAGCAGCTCAACTAAGGCAGTGTGGGAATGTTAGGGGCACTTGGAAAATTCAGGGTTCCACTTAGTGTTACTGTAAACACCTTTCATTAATAATAGGGAAGTAAGTTAAACAAATCGTGTTACTCCTCTGTGAAATATGAAACACCATAATCAGAAAGAAATATGACTACATCCTGTTTACCACCAAACAACTTTGAGGTAAACAGATTATCCCAACTTCTCTCTAAGTCTAACCTGCATATAAAATGAACTGTTCCAAACAGGACCTTTTACCTTCAACTCTCCTATGAAATATGAACTTTCATTTCTACCCAGAAGAACTTTTATAATATTTTCTTCTATGCCTGTATAAGGGTGTTTATGCCCAAAATCTTGCAATTAAATTGTTTTTTTTCTTGCAAAAATCTGGTTGGTCTAATAAAAGATATCACCTACCATAAGTTCTGACTCCACAAATCTTAGTAAGCATTCTACTTTAGAGAATGATAGCAAAAAACAGTTCATGGACATTCAAACACAGAAATATGACACTAATACTAGCAAGATTAATAGTTCTTTGACTAAATCTTGATTCTAGCTTTTCTAGTAATATTATCAACAATCCTTAATTTAACTGAAAATCAATCTACTGCATGTTGATTATTACAAGCTGAACACTGACTTTTTTCTTTTTATATTTTATTCTTTAACTTTGATTTACATTGAAACCTGTTCGCTTTTGTTCAAAATATAACAGCTTTGGATAATGGGGTTATTTGTGATGTATAGCACGTCATGAAATAAAAAAAAAATCTCTTAGTACTTTAGATTGCAAGTATTTGCTTCTGTTAGAAAGTAGTTGATATGCGTGTAGAGTAGTCTCAATTATATGGACTGTTTATATTTTGAATTGAACCTTTTTGGACAGAATACACTCTTTACTGCATTCAGTAGAGAGACTAAAATACTAATCAGCAAGGCAGCAATAATAATCCTGAAATATAGATCTCATGATCAGTATTGTAATAATACAAGATGGTTTCTCACTGTGGCTTGTCCATAGATTGTCAAAATAAGCAGCAGTTTATTGGCAGACTGAATAATGTATTAACTAAGGCAAACTTTTAGAGTTGCCAGTCACACATTTACTGCAAACCTGCATTTACTGAAAATCAAAAAGCTAAGAAATTATAGGAAAAAATACATTTTTGTTGACTTCTGTGGCTCTACGTTACAAAATGTCCTATTGTGAAATAAAGTGAAATCCTACCAAGACTGGCAAATGCAATCTCTGTTTTGAGGCAACTCAGAAGAGCACTATTTCTAATCCGTCAAATAGTGAAATTCCTAGATAGACCCATGCAATGGACTGACATAAGTTCTACTAAACATCTTAACACCAATCAGAGTAATTGGTTGTTCAAGCACACTCACAGAATCATAGAATTGGAAGGGACCCTAAGCATTAATCTAATCCAATACTCAACATAGATACAAAATTTGCTGTTCCTATATCATCCTGGGTAGATGCCTACTCTGCAAACCTCCAGTAAAGGAGATTGCAGAATTACCCTAGGCAAAAATTGTTCAATTGTTCTATTACTTTTACAGTTTCGAAGCTTTGATACTATTTGTAAATATGTCACAAGGCAAATAAATATGATTGATATAAATCAGATTGGCTAACCTGAGGTAACTAATTCAAATCAAAATAGCAGTGAAGATGAGGTAACTTGGGAATTAACTTGAGTTAGTGCCTTGAGTTCAAGGTTATAGGAAAGCATGGAGTTGAATTCAAGTACTTGAACTAAATTAAAATCCAAGTTACTGCGTCTTCACTGTATTTTAACCTGAGTTGCACACCTCTTTTGTGGTGTATGCTTATTTTAAATGAAAAAACAAAAGATGCGTCTTTTTCTTCCTAATGTTGGGGATATCAAAGAGCATAAAAACACATTCCAATATGATCATTAAACACAAATGCCCACTGATCAGCATAAATAAAACTTGTGAAATACCTTTTGGAAAGTGATTTTGTATGTGTGTGTGTGTGTGTGTGTGTGTGTGTGTGTGTGTGTGTGTGTAAAATGCAAATGAAAGATTAGTCCAAGCAGCAGTTAAGCAAAACTAAGCTTCATTGATCACATTTTGCACCATTTGAAAGCTTATACATTTCTGTCAAAGAAAAACAACAAGACAGAATCACTGCACTTGAAGTTTCTCAAATTGTTTTGCTCTTACCAGGAATACAGAATAGTTCCCACAACTGATATGAGTTTGCTGTTTTCTTGTTTCTGTTTTGCAAGACCAAAGTCAGCTACAATAAAGAAAAAAATAAGATTTGTAAGTCATCAATATCTCCTTGGGAGATGCACACTCCTTAAATCTTGCTTTTTAGGTGACAATTAGCGTAGGTTCACAACAGCTGGAAAGCTTTTTTTTCTCTTTTACACTTTGCAGCAATGTACTATACCATCTGCTTATCTTCCACACTTATCTCCCCACTAATTAATGACACACATTTTAATCAGACCTATCAGATTTAAAAAGTAGTATAAAAAGGTTTCTGGTGGCTGCCAATATAAGACATAATGCCAATTTCCATTTTTCAGATTTCAATCAATATTTTATTATTATAACATGAAATATTGTCATATTGAATGAAATAGTTTGAATGTTTGTAAAGATTGCCCATTAGCCAGTTTCAGGAAGAAGATAGGATCTATCTCCTTATCTAGCTCATTGTTTTGGAGCTACGTGCGAAATGTCCTGACTTCGCCTAAAACCTTAATCTAAATTGTACCTTTAGAAATTTTTTACAAAGAAAGTAAATGTCCTAAATTCCAAGAAATCAAAGCCTGGGGCCTTTTAACCAGACTGGTAAAAAGAAAAGAGTATTTACAGTGATATGGAAGTCTCCCCAAGAATAATTTAAAAATGCTCAACAAAGGTAATTTCTGTTGAGTAAGATCCGAGCCCAAATTTGGGAGTTATGATGAATTGAGTAGGAGGAGCCCAATGACGGCAGCTCACTCAATAAAAACCTGTAACTTACTGTCCCAATTTGGAGGTGACTTCACTTGCAGAACAACGAAGGAAGAATCGCAAGTATAAGTTCAGATTAGATTGATCGCCTAATCAAGCCTCTCCGTGAACACGAATCTCTTAGTTCACGCTGAAGCCGCGGAGCGCCCGAAAGGGACTGAAGGAAGGGGACGTAGTCCTATCACTGGTGAGCCCAGCTCATTGAATCGTATTGCTGAGGCCAGCCTATTGAACCGTACTACTGAGGCCAACCCATTAAATCGTACTACTGAGGAATGAAACCATATTTTGGTATTTGGCTTCTCGGAATTCTAGGATTGTAAGTATATTATGAAAAATAACAGTATTGATTCAAATTTAACTTTTAGTTGTAATTGTAGTTGTTTTTGTAACACTAATTCTTATAGCATTGTTTGGGAAGGAAGTGCATTTGGAGCATTGTTTCTGATATATGTAATTATTGTGTTTTTAATGTTTGTGGTGTTTCTTAAAGCTAAGCAGTGTTATATACGTAGCAAAGAGTTTTAAAATAAAATTGTGTTGTATAAATTAAGTGTGTAATCATTGTGAAATCGTGCAATCAGCTAACTACTCCCCCAGCCAGTGCATCAAAACGAATCAGTAAATTGTGTGGGATTTTCTCTATTCCATAACCCACTAGAGACAAATATATATCTGATATTTTTTTAAAGAATCACCTAATAAAGCAAATATTAAAACAACAGTGGGTAAATGCCTAACTAACAGAGACAAATAAGGTCATGATGAAAGAAATTAAATAGCAACTCTTACTTTATTTTAAATGCTGGTAAATATAGAACTCATCAGAAACTGAAGGAGAGAATTTCTGAGTAATCTGGGACCATACATTATAACTGATTTCTTAATAAGTCACTTCAAAAGGTTTTATTTGTTGATAAATGATGAAGAATTTTTAGACATATCACCTAACAAAAAGTTTAGATTAAATTTTGGCATACTTATACAAATATAACTACCCACTGTGATCACATTCATATTTTCATAGAACAATAAAAACATAGGTCTGGAGGAGACCTCCAGAGGTCATCTAATCCAATTCCCTACCCTAAGCAGGGCCATCTCTGTCCAAACCATCCTAGACAAATATCTGTCTAATTTGTACCTATGAACTTCCAAGGACAAAAATTCCACAACCTTTTAAAAAGTAATCTGTTCCAGTGCCTAACCACCTTAAAAGTTAGAGCGTTCTTTCTAATATCTAACATAAATCTCTCTCATTACTATTTAAGGCCATTACTTCTTGTCTTGTCTTGTCTTGTCTTGTAGAGACAGAGAGTAATTGATTGCCATCATCTTCATAAAACACCATTTTTTGTATTTAAAGACTTACAAGCCCCCTCCCTGTTTTCCCTTCTTTAGCTTGACTAGTAATTGGAAATCCAGCTTTTTCAGCAGTTCTAGATGAACACAAACAATTTGCAGTCTCATTGGTCAAAGTCTTAGCAATAACTTGATTGAATAGCTTGTGTAAGACTTATATTACACTTAAGACATGAATAACCAGTTAATCACATCTTACATTGTAACTTGGTCACAGGTTAAAGCAATTAAGGGTGTTATAAAACAAAGAATAAGCCACAAAGTCATTCCAGACAAAATGTGTACTAACTTTGTGGCTGGTTCTTATCATGTCACTAATTGAACATGTGGCCAGGTGCTCCCCAGTGGCTGGAGGCCTCATTAGTTGATCCTTCCCAGATGTGGGGATGCACCATATACTTCTGTGGAGGATCAGATGATTGGGCTCCCAGCCGCTGGGAGCTTGCTACTTGATAGTGAAGGGGGAGCCCAGGATCACAGTCCCATCCCCCCCTGCACCAACAATAAGGCACTATGGGATCTGATGCACGATTCCACAATCACACCTCTTGCCATGCATGTGTGGCATAGCAGGAAGCATGATTGTGTGTATAGGTGACACCACCTGGTTGAGCTCCAGCCTGCAAGAGCTGTTTGCAAGCAGGGCAGGAAACCCCAGCCCTGCCCACAGGAGAAGGGGGAGGGGGAGGGGGAGAGGGAGGGGTGGGGTCTGAGGCTCTCAGCCTGCCACTGCTAGGCTCAGCTCAGCCTCACTCTTCACTCCTGGAGCCTGTGAGGTAAGTGGAGCTTGCTGGGGGCCCTCTGGCAGGGCTGAGGGGTTGTGGACCATGGCTGGGGTTGCTGGCAGGGCTGGGGGGAAGCCAGGAGTTGGTCCCGCCTCCACCCGAGCAGGCAGCAGCATTGGGAGAGCTGGCTCCACGCTGCTTCTGCTGCAGCTGCCTGCTGTTGGGGGCAGGGAGCTGCAGACTTGGGTCCCTGGCCCCATAGCTCTGGCAGCTGGGGGCCCCTTGGCAGGGCTGGAGGGCAGGAGCTGTGGGTGGGGAGCTAGAGGCACGAGTAGGGTTGGGGGGCTGTTGTGGGGGCGAGTGAGGGGCACCAGCAGGGCTGGGGGAGGAATAGGGGGTGGTGAGGGCACCAGCGGGGCTGTGGAGGGCTGTGGGAGGTTTTTAATTTTAATAATGTATTTGGGGGGGTTTTACTAGAGAATTTACAATTTTTGTGTCAGAAAATTTGTATTTTTTTTATCAGAGAAAACCAGGATTCCTGGATTAGATTAGATTTTTAGTCATATTATTATTATTATTATTTTAGAAAAGCTGAACCAAGGATTGCAAACAAACTTCATTTCCTCATTCAGTTATATTGCTAGCAAGCATGAGTAGAATGGTTCTATCATGTGGAAAGCTGTTAAATATTACTGTTCTGCTTGGCTCTCTCTCAGACCTGGGAGGAGTGGGCCACACCTGGGAACAAAAAGGTGTTCGTTCCAGTGCCCTGTTGCCAGATGTCTAGCTCCAAGATCACATCTCTTAGCAGAAAAAGCTTCAAAGCAGACCATGTGCTTATTGTGACTCATGCTTCATCACCTCAGTAATCTGCTCTCTGTACTACTCCCATCTAGATGGAGAACCCACTTTCCTAATACTCATACCTCTATTTGCCTGAAAAAATGCTCTTTCTACATAACCTTGACCTCCTACAGCTACATCCAACCAGAACAATAATAATCAATAAGGTGAAGAACATGAGGCAGGACCTGGATTCTACAGCTCACTCGCTGAAAAAGCAGAGTAAACATAGTTTCACAGTTTCATGTCCCTTAGCAAATTTTTTTTTATATAAGGTTGAAAGAGAAATGAAGTGTCACTGTGTAAATGATTCCCATGAGAAAATGATCTTGAAGCTTTAATGAAGCCAGTGGAAGGAACTATCTACCTGTTTGAAAAGGAAGAAAAGGACCAGTCTATTTATTCAAGACTCTGGAAACTTCAACAGGAAATATATTTTTGGAATTAAAATAATTTTCAAGTTAATCTACAGAACTTTGTTTTTATAAATATTCACTTTACATTACACTCAGATATAACAACTTGCTATGCTGTCACAATATATGACACCATGTAAGATGAGCAGAACAGTTTGTATATTTGTGTCTAGTAGATATTTTTTGTAAAACAAGCTTTCTATGGTAATAGTTTGTTAGTGCTTTGTGTCTCTGAAACCTAAATAAGTGGCAGCTAATTTATTTAATGGCAGGAAACTTGGCATACTTCTACAAAAACAGTTATTTTTAAGATTATTCAGAGACTAAAAAAAAGTGCTAATAAGCTTTGAACCATTGGAAGAACTTTTACATGTTATGATTAGACTTGTAACTTCTACAGTAATGTCTTACCCAATATAGGCATCTTCCTCTAAGGTATTATGATACTTGAATAAATGTCATACCATGAACACTTACCCTTAGTTTCTCCCTTTATTAGTGTATATCTTTTTTGAATCAAGGAAACTCAGTAATATTTTAATGTTATAAAATAATCAAAACAATGAATGAAGTTGGAAACCAAATAACCATGTAACCAATAGCACTCATATATAGAGAGGAAGAATTACAATGAAATTAGCTAAGGCAGAATCTTTTGTAGTCTAGGGCTGCCTCCTACACCTGTGAAATGGTGGTTTACTGTATGTTTGCATTATTTTCAGTGGAGCATAGTAAGTGTTAAAAATGTCCACAAAATAAAACAGCTTCAAAAAGTAGCATATACATTAGATATTACAAAGAAGCAGTTAGCAAGAAAAGGTTATGAGGAAAACAACCCAGGAACACTAAAATAAACATATTAATTCTTATAAAGGGACTTCTTAAATATTCATAATACTTACATGAAAAAATATTTCATTCTAAGC